GTTCTATGTACAATCCTTGTTTTATTGATTGCATGTAATATTCTAATTTTCTGAGATGCTGGATTTGAGGTTTTCATGAGCTGTACGCCATAATCATCACAATTATGACAAATCATGGCATCAACTATCTTGCTTTGCATGTAATGAGTATCTCATATATTAGTTTCACCTTTTAAGTTGCATTACTGAATGAACTTTTGTACAATATTCTAATTTTTCTAGTTTCACCTGGAAATCTGGATTTCCTGACAAAATACTGCAATCTATTCTCAACCATAAGAAACCCAATTCTGAATTGCTGTTTTCCTCAAGTCCCTTGAAAGAGGATTCCTCTATTTCAAATCCCTATCCTGCCTACGCCACATTGAAGCAATCATTGGCTCTCTCGTTTCCACTCAAAGATGTATGACTTTGTAATTTTCATGCTCTGAATTCTGATCATATGAAGAACAGAAGGAGCTTGAGACAGTTAAGAATCAGGATTAGATCAAATGAAGAAAAGGCTATAGATTGCAACTCTATAGGCTATAGCTTGTTTCTAATAAGTATAGATTGTTCTTAAGGAGTTGGGAGGCAGGGAAAGACTTAGTAAATGCATAGGTGTCACATAAAATAGGCAAGCTTATGGTCTCTTTTTTATTTTACAGTTTTGTTGGGAATTTTTGTTTCTTTGTTTTTTGTTACTATAACAATGTCAAGATTAGTTTAGGAGTACTATTATGTAAAATATTCATTTTTCCCCACATCAACTAAGAAGAAACCTACTGGTGATTTTTGGCAACTCTGGTTGACTTGGGTATTACAGACTGTATCCTCCTAATCTAGCAACACACCAAGAATGACCTTTCTAGCAAAGTGTATTTCTCACTCCACTCAATTCTGTGGAAACTATTATTTTATAAGTGCATAGTAGTTTCTAATGTCCAGATGGACAGATTCTTGCTCCTGCAGTCTTAATGTCTAGACTTTATCTTGGAAATCATAAAGAGATTAAGAAATTGCAGTGCGGTAAACACAAGCAAAATGCTAAAATTATGAGTAGCGCATGCTTACATTTGGCTATTTCCAGCTGAACATGAGGAATAAAAAGAGATCCCCAATGTTTCATTAAAAATGGATTCTGATGCAGAATTTGGAAGAAAGCAAGCAATACAGCAGGTATTCTGGGAGGTAGTTCTAAGCATATGGGTGACCACTGACACCGAAGGGAGCAGAAATGGGACAAAGTTACAGAGGGCACATTTATAAGTTCTTGTATAGACTCTCTACACATCACATGTTACATTGTGACTTTGCCATTCATTTTACTTTTTGAGAATTCACAATGTTATCACACTAACATCTGTGATCCTCCTCTTAGCGAAATCCAATGAAATGCAAATAGTGATGGGAAGGTTATAACAGCAAACAGAAAGAGAAAGAGAGAGGGAGAGAGAGAGAGAGAGAAAGAAAGAGAAACAGATTCAACCCCTTACTCTGCAGACAGGTCAGCCTCCATCAATAGGGATGCAGGATTCTCAGGAGTTGTCTCCAAGTCACTGATTCATCCAAGGTAAAAGGTGTGAAAGGGAGAGAGAGAAAGAGAGAGGAAACCATTCCAAAAAGGCGAGAGAGAGAGAGAGAGAGAGAGAGAGAGAGAGAGAGAGAGAGAGAGAGAGAGAGAGAGAGAGAGACTGACTCACACCCATGACAAAGAGAGAGCAAGACAAAGCCATGAGAACTGACGTACTAATTGCCCACCTAGAGAAAGGAAGCCCAAAACTCCCAAGCTACTTGGAAACAAACATCTGTAGATCAATCTTGCCTATTCTATACAAAGATGTATGTATAACATAGTCATCTTATTATTGCAAACATATATCTACCTACTTTGCCCCTTTTGGATGAGGATCTCGAACACAAAAAGTCCCCCCATTAACTGCTACTCAGATTAGATGGCAGATGATGATCTACCCTTTGAGCTGGAACTTTCTCCATGCAAGGAAGTCACTCAACCACTATGACTCATTCCTCACAAACATCCATGAGAGCTATAGATCAGAATCTGCATTTGTGACAGAGCAATCTCTTGTATCCTATATGACCTCCCAGCAATTATCTAAAAAAGAGTGGCATTCCCTTGACTACAAGACATGCTTAGACTGATCCAATGTGTCAATCCTTTTTCTTAGGAAGGCTTGGGCAGAGACAGCCTGGACCTGAGTCACCATATTACCTTAGGAAATTATCTTCTGCACCAGAGGCCAGGCCAGTTGTGGTAGATGGGCTGTCAGAGAAAACATCCACTAGAAGGTTGCCAGTGCTGGCAGGCGCACCAGATGCAGTCGCTGGTGTGGCTCGGAGACCTAATAAGTCAGCAGATGGGGACGGCGTTGACTGCAAGAGAAAGAACACTGTAAGGGGCAAATATTTTTAATGTTTTCATTATCCTAACTTAGAAACTGAACTCAATTATTTATCTCTATCTTAGGAATAGAAATAAAGATTAGGTCTTGAGTTCTTTACTTCTGTGCTGTGTCAAGATAAAATATCTGCAATTAAAGTATTCCCAGAAGTTGGGCTTCATATATATCAGTTTCATTACAGCTCTTTCCTCTGGGATTTGACGAGCCTGTTAAACTGTTTCCAAAAGTTTCATGCTTAGTTGACATGAAAGGCAAGGGGAAACAGTGAAAAGAATAAAAGGGCAAACTGAATTTGAAATTAAGTCTCAGATAACACATCTGTTTGCTGTCTGCCCTCTGAGGTAATAATTTATTTTTTGGCCAAGACCAGGAGTAGAGCAGAATGCTCTTATTGGTGATACAATGAATTACATATGACCCTCGAAGGAAATCTACTAACATTTCTTATTGTATGTACCAAAATGTTCGTGTCATTGAAGAAAATAATTAGAGCATGAAAAATCCTGCTTTATTATCTGATAGGTTGTAAGAGATTAGAATTTGTAATTGTTACTTTCCATCCTTTCAATTTTTCCTTCCCCTTCCCACAGATTTCCCACAGAGCCTACTTTTCTTTCTAGGAAGCCTTCCAAGACCCCCACACTCTCCATTTCCAGCCTTGTCTTTTTCCCTTGCACTCACAGCAGTGCTGCCTGAGGGATCCATGCCTCCATTGATTTCAGAATTTGGATCCTTTTTGCCATCGTCTAACTCGCTGCCAGCCCCGGGACCCTTTTTTTTCTTCAGTTTTGCCAAAATGGAAGATTCACGTTCAGGGAATGGTGGCATCTCTTCCAGTACTGTAGCCTAAAGCAGTAAGGGTGAAAATTGGAAACAAGTATCAACATGCCCTGTCAGTCAACCTTGTAGTTATATAAAAAGACTGGAACTCAAAAGTTCTACAAAATAAAAAAAAATCCTAAAGACAATGTAACCACCTATTGCATATGGATTATCTGCTTTATTATAGTGGCAGCCATCCACTTTATCTACGATGTTTGCTCTCTGCAAGTCACCTGCCTGGAACTTCTCTAAGTTCACCTATAGCTTTCAAGTCAAGTAAGTGACTTGAAAGCTATAGGAGGTTCCTCATATCTCTTTTAGAGAAAACCACCACCACCACCAGCAGTGACGTTTTGCACTTTTTAAGCCCCCAAACATTGCAAATAGTTGCATTATGCTTTTCTGGGATGATATGTAGTAGCTCTAGGCAATGCATTTCAATCCCAACTCTCTTCCTTAAAGGAAACAAATGACCTAGAACTTTTAGTTCCATTTCATTTGGAGACATCACTGTAGTACACTCCTCAAAAGAGTGTATTCAGCTGAAGAACCACCCTAGCCCACTCCACTTTCAGGTAAAAGGGTAAAAACTGACTTTGGACCAACTACAAAAATGCGAAACTTTGACCCATTCCACCAAAAAGAGAAGTTTCGTATTTTTTCTTTTCCAATGCTCTCTGAATCAACTTTTCTCAGATATGGCTGCAATGTTTAAATAAGGAAAAAGTAAGAATCTATTTTCCCTGTGAGAGACGGGGATATCAGTGCCCCCCTCTCAGTTCTTCTCTCACCAGGACATCGGTGCTGGCAATAGAACTGAGCTTGAGGTACTCAACGGCACGTTGCTGCAGTTCCACATCAGCATTGCGGATTTGGCTGTCTGAGCGAAGCACTTCCTGGATGGTGCCCTTTGTTTCAGGGAAGAGATTTATGAATTTGATGTAGGTAGAGAGAAGTAGGGCCCGAGTGGAAACACTGCAGAG